CTTCAAACCGAAACCCATTACTGCTTCACGGCAGAAATAGGCAGGATGGTGGTACCTATACGCGCGGACTCACAAGAGGTCCTAATCCCAGTAATTACGCAAATTATAATTTTGCGGGTTTCATTTTCAATCAATCGTGAACATTTGCCGAGTACGTATTTCATTAGAAAAATTGGTACCCGCCTAAGATTCGAACACCGGTGCATCGCTCAACACGGGTGCACCGGACGTCTTATCCTTTAGGCCACGACGACTTAACGAATTTTCTTGAACGATTAAGATTAACCAAAGTAGAAACCATAAAATGTAAACGTAATATTATAAAGTCGTGATCGTTGTAATCACATTGGTCGCGGCGACTTTGACTCATAAAAATTGTATCATCCCCGAACTGACTGATGGCCCTTAATTCCGGCCTTATCTTGCCTGCTTTTCGTTACGCGACAATATTATCTTTTTCTGTTTCTCCACAGTCAAGTGAATCCAGAAGTGTAAGTTAATATAATAATATTTACTTGTCAAACTTAAACAGATTAGACTCCGTAGATACTGTAATATCTGACGGTTTTTCCTGTAGAGGGAGAACAAGCTATGTCACAAAAATTAGCAAGTAATTTAATTATGAATAGATTAGATTAGTAAATACCATAGTGAGTAGTAGTAGAGTAGTGTCCCCTGTGATAAAGTTATTCAAGTTATAAATCAGTGTGCGTTAATGTTGAATCAATATGAGTTGATTGCATTGGCACTACCGACAAAGATTAAAACTTTGTAATCCTTACCGCCCCAGTATCTTAGTTCCTTTCGTCAAACAATATTAATTCGGTTTCAAATAAAATTATTCGTCTTTAAAGAATACTAGATGATGACCGAGCTTAGCTCGGTTTTTTTTTTGATAACGCCATCTTGTTGTTTCTTTAAAGCGGTTAGTTGCCCTCAATTAAGAAAAATAGTATTATTATTCGCCAATAGATGTCGGGAAGAGTTGATTTTTGAAAACACGAATAAAACAACATTTTCTGAAAATAAATCGTAGCTAGATCGATTTATCGCCCCCGAAATCCCCTGTATACTAAATTTTAAGAAAATCGTTGGAGCCGTTTCCGAGATTCAGATAATATTAATATACAAGAATTGCTCGTTTAAAGGTATAAGATAAGCCTCCAAAAACAGAAAAACAGGTTTTAAAGTCGGCTAAAATAAAATTGTACCTTCGTTTAATTCCCGATCCCTGTATCCTCGAACAATGAAATGTGATATTTTTACAGTCGGCATTCGAAGCTCAGGAATATCTCTTCAAACAATGTTTCATTTGTACTGAGACCAGCTCGCTCTTTGTTATCCTGCCTCTTGCCTCTCTCTGACTCTGTTATTTTAATTATATATTTCGCGTTTCTTAAAAGATGCTATTTCATTTGATAGCGGCCACAAAAGTTACGTCTTCAAATAAACATGTTTACTTTTACGATTTGCTCTGGCGTTTATTTTATGTTTTTTACAATTTTACAAACGCATAGTGCAAAAGTGTTTATTTGCAACAAAGTAACAAACCTATATAAATTCTGGTTACTATAGGTAGACGTACATTCAGCCTACCCAATAATGAGTGCCACTGCCGATATTGTTAGTGACTCTCTAATGTTGTGCAAATGTATAAATAGTAAAGTATATCTTCAATGACTTCGTTACGTGGGGATAAAGTGCGACGTATAAAATGGTTAAACATATTTATTGTTCCTTTATGTTCGTATTATTTTGACGTTATATCTACTCAATCCCGGTAGGTTTTTTTTAAATCTTAAATTGAAGGAAGGAGACGATACGTCTCAAATGCATTGAATTAAGCTATTCTATTCTTCAAAACATTATCAACAGGCATATGAGATAAGTTATTTTATCTCCATAATATTGACGTTAGCTTAGATACAACCGGTACATTATCACAAATACAACATTAACATAAATACAATAGGAATAGGTTCCAAATGAAATAACAATTTCAACTATACTGTTTATTTACGTAAGAATTCATAACTGGGTTACATAGAAACGGTATAATTATGTAGTGTTGTTATAATTTGTATAAACTAGCGAGATCACTACGTTTTATATTATACTTTTATATTATAGTTTATTTAGTTATTTACAATATCATATATTATACTAAAGTGTACTATGATTATATTATACTGAAAGTTAGTTTATATATTTATTATGACTATGCTATGACTGTTAGTAGGTGGGAAAACCGTGCCATTGTTGGGGCCGACACTCTGCTTATAATTCGTTCATGAATGGAATAAGGTAACTTATATAAAAAAGTCTTATAATAACTTCAATTTAGATATTATTACTTATTTTCATTTAACCTTCTCTTTAAATCAGCGTTTAATATTTAAGTTTATATTAAGTTCAAAAACGTACTTTTGCAACTAAATTAAATTGTTATCAGAGGTGATATTTCAATGATTAAATATTATCCGAGCTCCAAATTTTAACAAATTTATTTTTACTAAAATATGTGATATTAAATATATACTCTGAAATACTTGCTGTGAATATATAGAATATGTAATATGTAAATATTTATTATGAATCTTCATGAACTGTTAGGAATCACTAATGCCGATATTAGATAGTTATCTACACAAAGGTTTAAAGTAACACGTATTTCTCAGCATAGAAATAAATATTATATTTATTACACAATCCCTTCTTTCTTTCTTTCAAAACCAAATATAAAAAATTGTTTTACATAATCAAATACAAATATTTATAATTCACATATAAAAAATTTAAGAGGGCCGTTCGAAAAACCCATGAGAAAAAAGTAGTAGCTTAACAATATCGAACTCGCATTGTTAAAACTTGCGCCTGTTGAAGATTGAAAAGCGCTCAAAGCTCAAATTCAGAGCTCAAAATAAGTAAATTTATAATAAAAGAAACAGCGTTCGTTAGTAAATATGTACACCGGAAATACTAAATGGAACTGTTACGAAAGCCGTAAACGCATCTACAAAGCCAAAGTAATTCAATAATAATTGAATATTCCAAGTAAAATAAATTATAAGCAAATTTTACACTGTCAAGAAGCCAATCACGGCACGAAACACCGACAAAGAATACTAAATAAATCTCATGATTTCGAACCTAAAAGGAATCCGAGCCTAAAAGCTCCAATTAATTGAAATCTGGTCAAATATTGCATAAAAGTATGGAATGAATGCCTCTATCAATTAGTAACTCGGGAAAGCTACGAGGGGTGGGGGGGGGGGCAGGTTGGGGGGACTATCATTAGTTGGCGACTTATAACAAGAAATATTTCGTAATGACCAAAACTGAGTTATAATAACGGGATCTAAGAGAGTCCAGTCCGGATTGACTTCACCAATGTAAGTGGAGCTCAAGTTTACTATAATCAAAAAACGTCACAAAAATTCAGTCTTATTAAACTTTTATACAAACTAATCACTTATAAATAAATGTGATAAAATTATCAGTAGCAATATTTTAGAATTACATAGTTCAATGATCGTAAAATGTTGTGCATTGTAAATGTGTGCAAATTACAATCAAACTAACAACTCCTTTAATATCTTGTCTAGCCCCGGGGATTATGTTAAATTATATTATTAGTCAGCATAGCTTAAATTATTCTAAATTTTTTTCACAACGCAACGAGGCGATCTGTTAGCGCTAAGTCACTTATCAAAAGATTATAAATTTGTAATAAAAAAGGGAAACACTAATACAAACACCTTAATCTAACAACGATACAACTCAAGCAATCCAAAGACCAGTCTTCAATGAATTAAAATATATTTTATTCTACTTAAAATAACAACCATATTCGTTCAATTTTTCTTTCGATCCAGTACTAAAATAATACATACGAATTGAGTTAGTAATAACTGAGTCAGTCTGTATCTTTCACTTAAATTATAAAATTTTATTGAAGCATCTTCTTGGTTTTTTTTTTCATAAACACGCCGTTTACAGTTAAGATTGCCACTACATGCCGTGAGCTGACAATTAGATATCTAATCTATTAGATTTCCAAACTCAAGTAAAACTGAATGCACTGTGTCTCTCGTGAACAACTATTTTTTCGATTTTTATAATGACAGACCTGTGTATTTTGATATGTATGTATTTTTAATGATTTTAAATGACTTACTATGAGCTATGACTCGTAATTTAACTCCTGTGCTCTTAAAAAAATTAAGAAAAGTAAGATCAGTGTGATGGTGACTGAATAAAATGTAAATACACTATCTTTCCGCTCGCAAATTCGTCTACATAGTCTACTTTTCAACGTGTGTTAACAGTAGTCCAGGTAGCCTGGATTCTTTGCCTTGAATCAGAATATTTCCATCCCGAATTGCGTCAAAATCGGTTCACAGATCTGCGCGCGAAAATTTAAGAGACAGACAGAGCTACTTCCGAATCAACACTATAAATAAAAAGCTTTGCAGCTTCTAACATCTAACAGTACAAAAATAAATTCTAAATTTTAGTTATTTTCTCAGGTTTCAATAAAACCTACATGCAAATCTGTGGAGTAGTTTCCGAGATATCAAAAACCAAACAGATAGGCAGAAATAAAAAACTTGTTTGTTTATGTTTTATTAGTCTTCTACAGTTGCCGCTTTTTTATTTATTTTTATTTCCTTCATTGTTAATAATAATGTGTATTGATGATGACTTTATGATAAAACAATATTTGATCATCTTTGCTTTATTGCATCAATCATCATTATCACTACACTACTTTTCCATTTGAAGTACTACTTGCATCGCTTTAACCTTTAAGTTTTTCAGTATGCTTAATGTTGGGATAGTTTAAAATATACATTCTATTCTTAGGTGACATTGTGCGTCAGCTACATTCACACCTTGGGCATTGCACACAGCCGCATATTTGAGGATACTTCCAAACAGAACGGTAGCTATAGACACATCAAAGCATATAAAAATACAAAACAATTTGAGGGGACAAATTAAGGTATATTAGTATAGTTGGCTAAGTCCTTTCCGTTTTTGTACATTGAAGTGATGATCGGGTCGAGGTTATGATATTCTTTGCCGGAGCGAGGTCTGAGTGTGCTCGTTGTTTGGCGACTGATCCTGAGAGAAGATAAATATATATATTATTTTCATAAATCTATGGTCATAGTTTAATCTGTATGTAGCTTTATGATGTCAAAGGGAAGCGACACACGCAGGATAACGCGTTTTTAATAAACATCAAACAACTAAAAAATGTTCAATTGTACCAGTTTCACATATCGTTTGTAAGAAATAAAATATATTAAATACAGCAAAAGTTTACCTAACGCCGGTTGGAGTATCAGATGACGAATGAGAGGACGTCAAAGAAAGTGTCTCGATGTAATCTGACATGTCCGACGTTCCGCTCGAAGTACTGTGAGTGTCCATTACACCTGGAAATATTATATTACAATAATACATCATAGCTTGCGCCTTATACAGTAAATTTGTTTCTTTTTTATTCCCAGATGATGACCGAGCTTTGCTCGGTTTTTTTTTGATAACGCCATCTTGATTAGTTGCCCTCAATTAAGAAAAATAGTATTATTATTCGCCAATAGATATCGGGAAGAGTTGATTATTGAAAACAACATTTTCTGAAAATAAAACGTAACTAGATCGATTTATCGCCCCCGAAATCCCCTGTATACTAAATTTTATGAAAATCGTTGGAGCCTTTTCCGAGATTCAGATTATATATATACAAGAATTGCTCGTTTAAAGGTATAAGATAAGATATAATAAATAACATACCTTTCAATATAATATTAAAAACATAAAAACAACCTTAAGATATGGGAAAACTGATTAACTTTAAATGTTAAGGAAGTTCCCAATTCAGGTTTTTTTCATATATTGAAATTAACATTAAACTAAATATGAAATTAAACAGAACAGTTTGAAACAAAAATATGCTATAAATATACTGGAATAACATTATTGACAAATTTTCTGTGTATTAATTATATTTGATAGAAAATGAATAAAGTTATTGCTGTTTCCTGTAGAAAATTAATTATGCTTTTCCATATAGTTTGAAGTTTGAGAAACCTTTTCAACTTTATGTTATAGGCGGTTTATCCCAGCTTCGTTTTGGATTTATTACAAATGACTAGTTTTTCCATAAATAGGATTAACAAATATCATACTCACCCTTGAACTGCTTTGGAGGTAAGACAGGAACTTCTGCCTCAGCAGAAGACGATTTGGCTGGTATATTTGCTTTATGAATTTGTAAGGACATATCTCTTAAGGGATCGGATGATTTAGATTTTCTGGGTAATGGGGAATGATTGCCTCCAGATAGGTTTTCTCTCATCCTTTTATGCATCATGTAATGATACCTTGATTGACCACATGTTAGAGGCATTTCAAATTCTTGAATGTCTCCCCCTCCGTGTTTTAATGAGCAGCTGGAAACTCCGGAATCATTTGAACTTGAAGAGTCCCTGTTACCACCTTTACACGGAACGCTGGAAGATCTTTTTATCTGGGCATTATCCATGTGTTTGTTTCTTAAATGCGGTATTTCTTTTGAAGAACTGTCATCCGTTTTGTTTTCGGATCCTGATGACTTACAACAATCGTAGCAGTCTCTATCGTTATCGCAGGTTGATGAAGATCTCCTGTTTTCAATAGTTAAATTCCTTAAAGTTTCTAGCGATGACGATGTAGCGTGACTTCCAATGCTACTATCGAATTCTTTGAGATCTTCAAGTAATCTCGCAGAGTCGACTGAACTCGATCGTTTTTGCAATATACCTATATTGCTATTTTCGGAAATATGGCTTCTAGTACTTCCATGTAACGTTGGGATGCTCAAAGACTTTTCAATGTCTACCTTATTAATTTTATTTAATGGATGCTTTAGGCTTTGGGACCAATTCGGGTTTGGCAACATTGGCGTATAGCCTGCATTACAACCAACAGTTTTACAATAGCTTTTTTTAATTTCGTGGCAAGGTTCCATTAGTAAATACTCGTCACTTTTATTTTTTTTAGAGTTCTGGTTGAGATTATGTTGGGAGTGTCCACATTTTGTACACAGCTTAGATTTTCTTGGCATGGTTGTAACTGCTAGATCTATGTTGGCACTTAACGCATCAAGTTCGCTTTGAGTAACGCCAGCCTTTTTCAATAGATCCTTAGCGTTCTCATAATACTCTAAAGATAAAGAAAATTCTAGATTTTCGTAATTTGCAAAAGGACCTTCGAATTCTTTATCTAGTTTTGGCTCTACGTTTTGGTAGTTCATAAATTTTGATCCTTGATTTCTTTCTTCTTGTAGTCCTTTATCGGATATTGCACTTTGTCTATTGGTTTTTCTGGAAACATCTATCGTGGCATACAGTACTGATTCATCTCTACGACTTTGATTGTCGCTGCTTTCAGATATGTTAGTGTTACGCTTGCAGTATGGAAGACTTATCAGGTTATTTGCCCAATTAGTAACTTTTAGACACGGACATTCTACCGGCTGTAGACTTTCATCACATTCGACTATAACTGGTTTTTTTGAACCAAATTTTAAAATACAACCGCAATTTTTCTTCAAAACTAAATTACCGGGCGCAGATTTCTTTGTAACTTTAAATAAATCATCTGTTAGCGCTTCCTTCAATCTTTTAGGTGTATCGTAATATTCACCATTGTCCATCTAAAAATACAAAAATAATGAATTTTGAATGAATACTACAAACTTAACTAACTAAAGGTACTAAGTTTAGTAAGTACACAAAAATAATTAACTAAATCATCAATTGGTTATAAACTAAATCAAATGGCACTAGTGTTGTTATTTTCTCTCTGTCAAATCATAATTTTTGACCTTAGTCTAAAACTGCTTATTGTGTAAGGCTCTTTATTAGCAATGAGATATTATATTAACACTTGGTAACTGCACAATGAAAACATCCTCTAAAAGCCACTATAAAGTTCCGTTCTATGTGTACCGGTCCTCAAAAATCCCAAAAACCACATCCATATAATTAAATTTAGAAGAATACTAATTAATTTGTCAAATAATTACTAATATTGTGATTTTTAACTACATTTCATACTAATTACCTCGGACTGGATCGGCTTGGGGATATCGTAGTTTTCATAGGGACCAACTCTAGGGTTATTTACACTTTTGTCGTTCACTGAACTAAAAGTATCAGGAATGAATGCATGTGGTTTCTTCGTTTCTAAATGTGCTGGCTTTGGTGGACGCATTGGTGGTTTATCATCACATTGGCAGCCTGAAATGTGCTTTCTTATTGCTTTCGGAGTCAAGTACTCAGTGCTATTTGAAGAATTATCAGAGCTGCTCTCTGGGACTGCTTCCATAGTCCACGCAGGACTGAACTGTGTACCAGGAGTCAACGCTACTGTTGATGAACGGGACATTACACCAAGTTTCGTCTGACAATTATCACATCTTTCTAAAGTCACGTGATCAGCTCCACACCAAGGTGGTTTAACAATTTCTAAATCACTTGAATATTTGAACTCTTGGTCTTCGTAGTTCTGTCTTTCATCCGAAGGCCAGAAAGGAGAGGTTCTTCCTCGATCTTCTCCGAAAAAATTTTCTTCATATAAACCACTGGCTGTATCGGGTAGTGATGGATCAAAAGTGTTTGCGTCCGATAATCTTGTACTTGGTCGCCATTTACCTTTATCTGGAAATTAAAGTAAAATCATATTTTAAGTTTTTTTGAGAAAGAACAAAGTTACTTAGTTAAGACTATCAAGGTGCTTTAGCATTCCAACTGATACCTAGTTACATCTTTACCACATATAAAGATCTATCGACTATGCATCTAAATCTGGGTTCCGCACAATAAAAAAATTGTTCCCTGCATCCCATTCTTGCCAGCTATGGTATGCAGTATGATTGTTATGAAAGCTTATTCAAATAGGACTAGACTGAGTAGGTCCCTGAAATTTATTCTCGGCACCACGCCGCAACGGAACGATAGAATGACAACTAGGAAATGTTGTTCACACCTACGGCTGAGTGACACTTCTAGCCAATGATAAGTTATAGGACAAAGAGAAAAATAATAATTGTAGAACTACTTCAGTTTGTGACTTAAATTACTAGATTTTACCTTTTCTACAAACTGGGGTCCTTTGCAAGGAGAAGTTTCCTTGGGCAGCCATGTCAAAAGTATCAGTAATTTCTTGAGCTTGATCAGTAATCAGCATATACAGACCTTCACCTTTGCCACAGTGGGAACCACCCTCAAAGCAAAAGCGACCTTCAACTACACCATATCTCCTGAAAAAAAAAACCTATTATTTAGCAAATGATGGTCCAATTTAGAATTTATGGAGAGTAGTTGAAAGGCTGAATGGTATTTATATTAATCTGGCGGTAGGACCTGGTGGTAGGTGGTAACTGGTGGTAGGTAGTTATATGGGTGGAAGAGCTCACAGCCCACCTGGTATTAAGTGGTTACTGGAGCCCGGAGACATCTACAACGTAAATGTGCCACCCATCTTGAGATATAAGTTCTAAGGTCTCATGTAAAGTTACAACGGCTGCCCCATCCTTCAAACCAAAACGCATTACTGCTTCACGGCAGAAATAGGCAGGGTGGCGGTACCTACCCGCGCGGACTCACAAGAGGTCCTACCACCAGTAATTTACGTAGGAATTCACCGTACTACCTAACTGTACCATCAACTTCTCTTTTGACGCCACTGTTGAAATTGACCTCAAACGGGTCAATTATTTTTCAGTATGAAACAAAAAGTATTTGCTTTTTTTCCATTTTTTATTTATTTCCTTACATAAATCTGGGAAGCAATTACGAATCCGTCTGTTTTATAATTTGTTCATTTGCGAAATATTTACTGAAAATCTAAAGCAAAATTGTGATTGAAAACCGAATCTAATTTAAAATTCAATCTATTTCTAAAACAAGCCTGGACTGAAATAAACTTGGATGAATGGATAAATCATGAAACTATTTGGGTAGGTTAAATAAATGAAGCCCCATGAAATATTACACTTCGTACGGGCTATTATTACTTTATTGTCTTCAAGGGCAGCGAGTCGGGTCACTCATAGACATTAGCAATGTTAATGGCACAGTCGACCTAGTTACTATAGACAGTAACTAGAGTTAGTTATGCATCTGCAGCAGAATTACACAGAATGGTGGTAATTCATCGTTACAACCATTCGTGAAAGAGTATGAGTTTTTCTAATAATATCTAGTTCCTTTTTTTATTGCCCTCGTAGGCAGACGAGCATACGGCCCACCTGATGGTGAATGGTTACCGTCGCTCATGGACCTCAGCACTGCCAGGATCAAAGCCAAGCCCCTGCATATACCGGAGTACATCCACACACCCTTACTATTTCGCCGCGAAACTTTTGAGCTCCGATCAGAAGGGTAGAAAAGCAGTACTATCCTATAAATAGTTGAAACTTCCACTTAATATCTCAAGTTCCGTGGCGGCATTCACTTTGAGATATATGCGACTTCCGAGAGGCACTCATCACAAGATGGACCATAAAATCGTACATCAAGAAAGAAGAACTCACCTCAAATGCGCCAACTCCCAAAGACCAAGTAAGCGCGGTGGAATCCCACTAGTAAGGGCAAATCTGCGACCCTGGACATGCAACCTCGCCGGTCCAGCAGGAAGCTTCTTGCTTCCACCGCCTCCAATCATGACTAGAAACTCCTTTGAGCACCCCAGCTGACTCCCAACTTTAACTTGCCACGCTATTAGTCGTTCTCTGGTCTCAAATGCCAAAACAACTGTCACGTCTTGGCAAATGATAGCAATTGTGTTAGATTCTTTGTCCAAGGTGAAACCAGATTCAAATCCCAAAAATTGTTGTAAGGATAAAGATGCTTTAGTTTGTCCTTTTTTGTAGCGATCTTTTGGATCTCTGTAGAGCTGAAGGTGGAGACAATCTGAAACAAAAGAACAAGAGATTATTGACTGTTTATTCTTAAAAGGTAGTCATAGGCATAAAGATGTAGATATTTTAAACTAAATAACAATACATTCTGAACTTGATGAGAAAGTGTGCTGTAGTCGTATTAAATTAGTAGCAAAACCTTCTCCTTTTGTTTAAGTTTCGGTCTATAAATAGCTAGGACCTTTTAGCGGTTCTCTTAAGCCACTTATAAAGTGTTGTAATACTTCATACTATAACATATCTAACAAAGAAGAGCGGAAATTAACATTGTTTGCCAAATCGTGTGGTCAAATTCAACTTTAGCCATTTTGAAATCAAGCGGCAAAACATAGACTCTTAGTTTTATTGGAACTGTAAAGAAAGAAAATTTATCTCCAATACTAAACATATGTTTATGTGGCACTGGGTCAGACCCGCACAAATAAAAGCTTCTAACAACTGAACGCTGTTGGATTTAAACGGTAAATAAAATGCCTAGAATATCACCAGATTCAAGTTATTCGCTGGTACTTTGTTCTATACAAATAATTTTTCTTAATTAACATTTTTAGATCAAGTAATCTTAGAATGGGATTATTCATAGGGATCATTCTCATTGGGTCATAAAACTTTTCAATAGTCGGCAGCACAATTATGATCATCTTTTAATAAGGGCATAAACGCAAATGTGTTACTCGTATCAACCATAATATTATGAAGCCCGTATTTTTTGTTGGTAAAATTGATAAAAGGAATTTTGTGTCTGGATCTAGTTTACGACAAGTCCCCAAGCGCTGTAACGTTAACCTTAATACTGAAGTAAAAAGAATTCAGCTTATTTTTCGGTCTACAGTTTAAGAAACACACAACATTTTATTTTATACTGAATTAATTTACTGTGCAGTAGGCGACGGCTCGTGGCTCCCGTGTTGACGTTGTCCATGAGCAACGGTGACCATTCACCACACACGAGCCTAAGCAGACGTTTCGCATCCGGTGCACTCGTATCGAGCGATGCAAATATCCCAGTCTTCCAATCCCGCAGGCAGGTATAATTTTTTTCTAATGAAACTAGCGACCCGCCCTCGCTTCGCTTCGGAAGCTGTAATTTATTATTGATTTCTCCACTATTGAATGGATGGTATTATATATATAAATCTTCAAATCACTCTATCTATTAAAAAAAACCGCATCAAAATCCGTTGCGTAGTTTTAAAGATTTAAGCATACATAAGGACAGACAGATATAGGGACAGAGAAAACGACTTCTTTTTATACTATGTAGTGATATGTATGCGACACAAAAATTCACAAGTGACTTCCACAATGAAGGAGCAAGTAAAATAAAAGTAAAATTCGCTTAGTGAAATGCGAAATCAGAAGCATTTAAAGGTGCTAAATAGTTGGTGGTAGTACGTGTTGTAAGTCTAGATATATATATAACAGGTTTGAAGGACGAGATAGTAGCTAACAGTATAATACAATACAATACGATTGACATTTGGCACTCACGTTTTTATGTCTAAGGGCTCAGGGAACCACTTAATATCTAGTCTACCGTGGGTTTGTTCACCAACTTACACAATAAATAAAAAGTCTGTTCGTCTACCTCCGAAAGCTATAAATAGAAAAGTTGTTGTTGGTGGGATCCTAACTATCAAACTTTATGACACAGCTTAATGTTTTACAATGTCAAGCGTCTACACGGGCTGAAACACTAAATATAACTTGTCCCTGTACCAAGTACTCTGGTTCTTGTACTGTTTGGTGTCAAATGACTGCCATTAAGCTTATTAAGTGAAAGTTCGACTTTACATGTTTAGATGTGTGTGTGAACGGACGCAGGAGTTAATTGTATATCAGGGCGTCTGAGGTCTGTCGCGTAGCTGAACAGAGCACGAAAGCTTGAAAAACGCTTTAGAAGTTTAAATACTATACCCACAGACTTTTCATTAGTCGTTAGTAAAGTTTAATTAATTAGGTCCGCTGTGCTCGCGCAACCCGTTTTGCGAAAGCTCCGATGAAGTTCGGTAAAGTTACGACATTTATTGGTTCTATCAAAACTTTTGGTTCGGTTTGCATTTTAGGTTTTTTTTTTTAATTTATTCCTTGTTGGTGCGCGCTACGATACGGTTCCAAATGTAAAGTTCCATTTAGTATTTATAATGTTTGTAGAACATAACACACTATGTGTTGGAAATTTCGAAGAGTCTATTTATTAAATTTGCGGAGTTAGGGGTGGTGTGGTGCACGGGTGGGTACAGTGATACTTTATGCTAACCCTAATTAACGCGATGCATTTTAGTGTACAGATTCAACGACTCCATATATCTAACTTTAGCGGGAGTGAAGCGTTTGGATCCGTGCCATTAATTATAGCATTTAATATGCTTTAAAGTAGATCAATATGTTGTTTTTTTTTATTGATGAAATAAACAAACAATAACTTAGTGTAATCGAAGAAATATACTACCTTGTCTATTTCGTTGACACAGTACGATGTAATCTGTATGGATTAGTTACAACGAGTTTATTAATAGAGCCTTTAGGGTTCGCAAAACCTGGCTTACAAATAATTGAAAATCATATTCAAATTATTTCAGTTGGTGTTATATTTATTTATATTGGTGGCATAGCAGGATTCATAATGCTTAGTCTTCTAGCAGTGGGCACCGTTAGGTACTGTCGAAATAAGGTACTCAATCAGATTATAATGTCTAATGAATCACAACGCTTGACACGCTATAAGCAGCGACCCAGCTTTTAGGTGGTAGACACATATTATGTACCTAGTCAGGTCATAAATTCTGTCACATGTTTAATGTAAAATAATTGAAACAAGTTTATTCATTATGTAACCATTCATATACCAAAATGAACTTAACAAAACATAGATTCTTATGACACTAAAGTTTATTCAAAATGACCTTCGTGATTTTGAATACAGGCCTTCAATCTGCGCGGCAAGTCGTCTATCGCAGCACGAACGAGGTCCATGTCAATATCGGCGGCTGCCTTAATCAAGGATGTCTTGAGTGACTCCAAATTGGGATGAGGCTTTGAGCACGCCTTTTCTCCAAGTGTTGCCATATCTTGTAATCTAACGGATTCAAATCTGGACTGGAGGAGGGCCAGTCTTCGTGCCGGATGAAGTCGATTTCACGCGCCGCCAACCAGTCTTGTGTGCTCTTCGCTCTATGAGCTAACGCGGAATCTTGTTGGAATACCCAGTGCCTGTTATTGAACATGGTATGAGAAACAGGTTCCACAAGGTTCGTCAGGACTGTATTTTGATACACAACTGCATTCGTTTTTACACCTTTCTCACAAAAATGTACCTCTGTTAAGCCCCAATAAGAAACTCCCAACCATACCATGAGCGAGGATGGAAAATGACCTCGTTGGACACGCNCACACACTTTTTTTTTTTTCTTTTTCTTAAAACGAAGTATATTTAAAATAAACAGAATTAAAGAATGTTAGTCGTCAGCGATCACGAAAACTTTTTTTTTTATTGCTTAGATGGATGGACGAGCTCACAGCCCACCTGATGTTAAGTGGTTACTGGAGCCCATAGACATCTATAACGTAAATGCGCCACCCACCTCGAGATATAAGTTCTAAGGTCTCAGTATAGTTACATCGGCTACCCCACCCTTCGAACCGAAACGCATTACTGCTTCACGGCGGAAATAGGCGGGGTGGTGGTACCTACCCGTGCGGACTCCCAAGAGGTCCTACCACCAGTGATTACGCAAATTATAATTTTGTGGGTTTGATTTTTATTACATGATGTTATTCCTTCACCGTGGAAGTCAATCGTGAACATTTGTCGAGTACATATTTCATTAGAAAAATTGGTTGCGGGATTCGAACACCGGTGCATCGCTTCAGACGAATGCACCGGACGTCTTATCCTTTAGGCCACGACGACTTCAAACTTGAACTTTAAAGTATCAAAATTAAAAACGTCGGACATTATGAAATAAAAATAATAAATGAGAAATTAAGCCCTAAAAATATTTATAATTATGGACATGACTCGTGAAAATAAAAGAAAACACTATAATATAAATATAACACATACGAGATGTAACTTGAATTTTCTGAACACGTTTGGCTCTAATTACGTTCTCAAGTTCAGTATTATCTCAAGTTTTCTAGATTGTGCCTTTGCGGTACTTTGTATTCCGTTCGAGTTATCTACATAATCTATTTAATAATTCACCCAAATAATTAAAGTACCTACACAGTGGGTGAGACACGCGTCGTAAAGTTTGAAAACTCTTTGAGAACTGGTGGGCGCTACTTTGTTTGAATAATAAATATATTTATTGTAACCCGGTAATATTACATGTCTAAGACATCTCGACAATCATCCGCATGTAAATGTTCGAGTTTTTTATTATCTGTACGGACGAATAAGACATTATAACATGAATCATTGCTCAACTTGCGCCATAAGGTCCAAGTCTCAATGGTATAGTTATCCCACCGTTTAAAGCCGAATGCTTGAATGACTGCTTTGCAAAAAAAATATTCAGGCCAGTGGTATCTACCCAAGCGGGCTCATAATATGTGCCTACTATCAGTAATTGCGAAGGACACTGCACCCGGCCCGGACGGCGTCCATGGTCGGGTTTGGGCCTTGGCTCTTGGTGCCCTAGGGGACCGACTCTTGAGGCTTTATAACTCCTGCCTCGAGTCGGGACGGTTTCCTTCATCGTGGAGGACGGGCAGACTTGTGCTGTTGAGAAAGGAGGGGCGCCCGGCGGATACTGCCGCCGGGTACCGTCCCATCGTGTTNGTCGTTCTAACAGATCTAATTCTCCGAAATATTAGTTAAATGTGGTCGTTTTATGAGGTATGTCGTTATTACCAATGTCGTAGAAAGCAATATTTTTAATAAGGCGGTCATATGGCATTCAGCCGGGACCTTTGTTCTTGGTTATTATAACCGGCATGTTGTATTAAACGATGTCGCAGTAAACGGTTTTGACTGTATTAACGATAATTAAAGAATCATTTCAGGTCTCTCTTGTTTACCACTGAAGCTAATAAGCATTGCAACATAAATATTGAGGGCGATCTAGGATCATCCTACCTCTCAAGCCGCAAGGCATAATTTCTTCGGAACAGAAACAAGCAACCTTGTATCCACCAGTGCACATGATTTTGCATTGTATTCGCTCAATCCATTTGCTGCCGACGTTCAATACCTATAACTTCCATACCACCAATATAATTTTTGTGCAGCCAAGAACCATAGCGGTGGCACACAAAAATAGCCTCATCAATGAGGTTTAAATAGCGGACACCTAATTAGGGTATAGTAAAGAAGTTATTGTGTGACGTGTCCCTGGCTAGATAGTACAATAACTTGCGTAGATTTACAAGCTGAAGAAGGGACTTAGTGTTGAAAATTGCCTAAATGGTTCAGCAGTGAATGAGTATGGGCTGATGATGATGAAAGAATTTAATCAAACAATAGGATGCGTAATACTTTTGATTTATTTTCCATGCTCGCAAAACACGACTGCTATTTTATTATCCTTAGCTAGAAACAAAAAACGTACAGGCTTGATCACTTTTTTGCAATATAGATAGACGGATGGTAAGTTGATACCGGAGCTTGACTAGACACACTTTTTTGAAGTTATTTTTCTTTAGGCGCGTTATGAAAGATTGATGAGAGTGAAATTTTACGATGCGCGCGCACCGTGACACAAAATTAACAGAAATGAAGTTGCCCACTAAATCGCTCATTACAATACGACCGGACGTAACTTGGCGAGTCTGAATATAGCCGCAGGTGAACTTTCCGAACCGTACCGGGAATTATCGAATTTATACGATGTCAAGAAAAGGGATGTCCAATATGCGTGTTTGAGGATGTTGCTTAATCGATTTTTTTTCAAATTGATTAAAATTTAGATTTAAAAAAAGTGATAAATTTAATTAAAAAAAGTATAACTTCTTACGCGCGTACATAAGTATACGCACCCTTTGTTTATTGCCCTTGTTGGCAGACGAGCATACGGCCATACCTGATGGTGAGTGGTTACCGTCGCTCATGGACTTCAGCAATGCCAGGGGCAGAGCCAAGCCGCTGCCTACCAAAAACGTGAACGCTACTATCTACCTTGAGACATGGAGACAGTTTCATTTGTATTACAGCTGTCCAGCAGTTCAACTTGAAAGTGAAATTCAAAATGACCTCTCCGCGACGCAAACACAAATTTAGTAGGGACCTTACATACCCGATCCAGTGGACCAAGTAAACAGTCGACGTCGCCCTAAACACGTCGTTACGGATCCTCCCGATCCATTAACGGCGCTTTTAGGTACCTCAAGCACCGGTCACCGTCCTCGTCGAACCCGTCGCTTGCGATGAAGGGCTCGACGGGTAAACTAGACTTTCTCGCCGGATTTTCTCAGTGGGTCGCGTTTCCGATCCGGTGGTAGATTTTGCAAAGCACTGCTCTTGCTAGGGCCAGTGTTAGCAACACTCTCGGTTTGAGCCCCGTGAGCTCACCTACACGTCAAGAAGAAGCTGAAATTGCCTCTCAAAGCTATCAGCTATCATAGGTAGGAGAAAAAAAAGGGACCTTTGTAACGAACTGCCCGACGTAAAATTATGTGAAAAAAAAACAATTTCTAATTAAAATTCTTATGTAACACCGTTATCGATCATAAATTAAAATTCAATAGAAAGTACGTGATACGTAACGCCTGCGGTCAGAACACAACGAGGATCGTCTTTACCTTACGCATGTTTGTTCCCATGACGAAACAAGTGTACTTAGGGTTGTGTTATCTGTAATGTGATATATCTTCTTGCTTACCGTTCGAATGGATATCGCGTCAATGTTTTTTGTTTAACTTGTGTAATTTGTTTTCAATTTTAAGGCCTTTTTGATTTCAAAATAAATAAATAATAGTTTAAAAAAACTAAAAAAAACACCCTTTATATAAAATTTAACTAAAAAATAGAAATAAATTTAAATGAAAATAGTAATGTAAAATATATTTTATTGTAAAAAAAGCATGGGGTGCATGGTGTTATTAGTTATAAATATTTT